TGTATGTATGTATGTGGACCCTATACACTTTAATAGGAACACTTAAAAAATGTCTGTAACGCACCTAACAACCGTTTCCTTCTCTTAGTAACTAGCTTTTTATTGACTAAAAGACTCAAGAATCCCATGAAACTTACAAACCAAGGCTTTTATTTGCAAAATACCTACTCAGCAGTACAGAGATTTCTTGTTTTTTGTTTAACAAATTATCTCTCTTGTATGGGTATCCAGTTTACAAATACAGTGCCTGTACAAATTAAATTACCCATGAAAATTTAACCTGAAGTAGAGGATTTCACCATTCATATACTGAACTGGCATGCTACAGTCAAAAAAATAATTTTACCATGAATATAGTACTTTTTTAGGACCAACCTCCTCTATGATCTCAAACGTATCATGGTCTTTCTCCAAGGCAGGTAGACATCCGCATATACCACAAAAAGCTTTTACTACCGTTAAAAGGTAGGAGGGTTCCCCATCCCTAATCACCATAAGTACAGCAAAGTCATGCAAATTGCTCAATTAACATTAGTCAACACAGGTAAAAAGGTCCTCTGGTGGGTGAATACGGAATCCTCCTTGCACCTGCAAATCACCCTTGCACCTGCAAATCACCCTTGCACCAGACTACTTCTCCCAATAACTTTCTATTCACTAAGCTTTTAGCAATTGATATGCCTAACACTGTAAACACTGTCTAGCTTTTGCTTCATACTTGAACTGGGAGAACTTCTTGTGGTGGATTGGAAGATGGTTACCTAATTTGCTAGGCCCTCTAATAAGAGTTTGTCTAATCTGTAAGTGAGATTTCCCCTGACTTACGATCTTTTTCAAATATTTCACTTTTCCATGCTTCTAACTAGAAAAAGGCTAATACGTTTTTAAAAAAAATATATATTTGCCAATACAATGACAGGTCCTCTTTATAGAGATATCAGGGGGTCTGAGAGCCCTAATATCACCTAGGGACCCCCAAAGAAGCTGTAGAAGCAGAGATCTATTGCAGCTGGAGAAATGCCAGGCTGAAGGCGGAAGTAATGCAATACACGCCACTTCCGCATTCAGAAATCAGAGGGGAGCTCGGCAAGTGTGCTGATCTCCTTCCGCTCCCAGTATAGAGAACCACAGTGCCGGTCCTGGGCCAGCATGGGGGACAGCGGCACCTGGAATAGCGGTGGGAGGCACACTCCTCTGCACCATTAAAGTGATCGGGTGGCTGTAGAGCCGCCCGAACGCTTGTATGTAACAGCCATTACCAGTTATTTAAAACGTTTACTGTGTCCTGCTAGCACGTGCGAGCAGAAAAAAAAATGCTATACATACAAGGCGAAATGCAGTAAAGCACTTATCCTCTGTTGGTTTATATACAATAGGCGGATGACAAGTAGTTCAAACTGGGAAATCCCAGTAAAGTTCGAGAAGTGCGCGGTCATTTGGCATGAACCACATAGGTATCTGCTGTCAGCACTACTTAGGCTGTCATCCTGTTATTATTGTTTTTAACAACAGGGGTCAGGATATACCATAGTTTAGTTAAAAAAAACTGCAAACATTTGTGAATACCTAACACATCTTTCTTTGTCTTAAATAGACATATAGGTATAGCAAAGGACAATACTTCAAGATATTTTTTGTGTAGTAAGGGGTCATTGGATGACTGGACATTTATTATGTAGATATTTTTATGTAGAAAGCCAAATAAAGAGAGATTGTAAAATTTACATGTGTACAAACTATCTTGTGCAGCAACAGTTGCGCATTATTACATACATAAACAGCAATTTTCTATATCTAAAGGTTCTCGTACGAAACATGTCAGACAATACAAGTGACTGTGCTGCAATAAAGTGACAATCTCGGGGTACACAAGATCCTGGACCTTGCAAGATGGACAGGTTGGATTAAAGCAAGGTCAAGTATTTTTACAGCTAACTTGACTTTTTGACCTATCTTGTGGTTAGTTTCCTCTGTACAGGGGTGCAGGTACACTTAAATACTAGACCACACGGGGACTCATACACACACATGCACAACAGACACACACAGACACACAAAGGTTGAACTTGATGGACCTTTTTTCAACCTCAAATACTATGTGACTATGAAAAAAATATAGGGAAGTAACTCCAAAGTACAAGGTATTTAAATATATACGTTATGTAATTTTTCCATTAAATAAAGCTTTAGCAAACTGTATATTTTGAGCTTTTTACATTCCCTGAATAACTTTAATCCGATTCATTGAGGATTGAGAAGTGCATTGTGAAATATTTCTTTTCATTATTATTGATTATTATATTGTAATCGGAGTCACATTCACTATACTTGTTGATATGCACATGCATACTTACCAACTGTCATGGATTTCCTTGGACAAGGTCTGTCCCAGCAGCCCTACCCTGTTACGTTGTGCCCACAGCTAATTCATATGCTGCATTCACATAGTGCTGCATTCACATGAAAATCCAGTAAAAGTGTATTAATATGCAAATCATATACAGGGTGGCCTGTTGTATTGTGGGGGCGGGGCAGTGCCTCCTTAGTGGGTGAAGCTGGGTACTGGTCTGATGCTGGAGCAGTGATGAGAAGAAGAAGCAGTGAAAGATCTGGTGAGAAGGAAAGAGCTGAGATGTTTCTCACCCACACTGTGCAGCCATACAGACACTGGGTCACTGGGGGTCCTCAGTGGGTCCTCTGTGTGGGGGAGGCAAAGAAGGGCTAGCCATTTTAGGATGGAGGTGGAGGTTCTATTATTCCACTTAGACCAACTTTGGGGTGTATTTTCTCCCAATAACCAGCAGTAAGGGGCACAAAATTGCTTATCACTGCACTCTGTAGACAGTGCTGTATGTTACATAATGCTGACCCTTTCTCTGCATTCACTATGTTGTACATTATACTCCTGACCCCTGCACTGAATTCACTATGTTGAATATTATACTGCTGGTCCTTGCATTTACTATGTTGTACATTATACTATTTTATACTCTTGATCCTTGCTCTGTATAAGCTAGGTTGTATGTAAATCATCCTGTACATAGTTTTTTTTAAATTACATTGTACAGAAGGTTAAAGATATGCCTCTCGTAGAACTACGCCCATTTAAATCAATTCCCTGCCCCTAATTATAGAACATTGTTAGTCTACAATGGCTTGCTAGATGCACACCCAAAAAAGCTGACCCTGGAAATAATTTTTAAATATGTGTGTAGTGGCTTGGTTAAAGTAGATGTGGAACTTTCTGGACAAACATGGAATCGAAGATGAGAATGTCAGAGGACAAACTGGTCTGATCATTTGGTGAAATAAGGTCTAGTGCAGAGATAGCCAAACCACAGCCCTCAAGTTGTGGAACTAAAAGTCCCATAAGGCATTAAAAAACTTTGACAGCCAGAGGCATGACTTCCAGATGCATAAGGGGATTTGTAATTTCACCACAGCTTGAGGAACAAAGTTTAGCATCCTGTGGTCTACTTGGTTTGAGTCATGTGCTGTTTGTTTGTTTATCTTTAAGCTCCCAACTGGTTCTTCCAAGTGTAAACCCCTCATGCCTCTATCATAGGCCATCCTAGGTACACATCTCTTTAGAACTGGTGTGCTCTACCCATTTCAAATTGTTATCAACAGTTACAAAATGTAGGTTCGCTCAAATCTAAAATACATGTTATTTAAACTATCAGTAACCATTTTCCACAACCGGAGACCACTAAAATAAGTGTGTTGAAACATAAACTGAAGAAGTGTACTAGTATTGTTATCAGTATTCATATGTAGCGTATAAATCAACCCATCCTCTGTGTAAATATCATCACTATAGATGGAGGATGTAAAACATTCCATATGTAGAAAAGATTACACAAATTTCAAAAGGAAGATGAAAACATTTCCTGTTGATTGATATCTGTTCAGTACTTAGAGGGTTATTTTTACAAACATTCCACAGTGAGAGGTCAGACCCTCTATCTGAGCTTTATGGAGTGCAAGGGAAATGCGAAGAAGTATTTAACAAGAGAGAGATCTGTGGACCCACAATAGCCTAGTTATACACAAGTACATGCTACTTCAGAAGATTTTGTTTTCATAATAGTAAATAATTCCTATTATTATACCGTAATATATACAGTATGCAGTGACCTCTTTGAAACACATGATTACTTATATAAATATATAGATATATGCATCATGCATGGTACTATATTTCAAGTCTAACAGCTATGTAAGCTTTGTAGCTCTATCTACAAATAACATTTATTGTTGTACTAGAAGTCAAGGGTGAGTGCTGTACTGATAACACAGGAGGACAACCTGTGGATTTCCGGCTGCTGTTGTATTACAAATACTGTGACCCACCAGAATCAGTGAAAACTGAGTTTAGATGATCAGTAATAGTGTCTTGAATAACAAGCAAATTCTACCAATCCACTTTCTTTGCCGTGGGAATAGAGATCATAGGAAAATTATTGATTTGATAATTAGCACTTTTTTTCTTAAACAATAAAACCTATTTAAGTATAATCATATTTGCCAATTACATATATGGGTTATGATTTTTTTTAATTATGCACAGTGACTATATCAGTCTGCTCTGGCTGATTGAAAAGAGAGAACTGCCTATGTGTCAAATTCATTTTTTCTCTCTGCAGGTTTAGCTTATCTAAACCCAAACACAAAAAATGCAATATATTGCAGATTTCCAGTCCATGGATGTGGGGGCTGCATTAGTTTCCCTTTTTCAGGCATTTCTTTTCTCTTTATTTTCACCTGGTGATCCTGCCAGTAACACACTTCCTGCCCTATAGTAGCAATGCTCCCTTATATACTATATTTAAGGAGGGACAGCAGCGTCGTCACCCCAGGCTGCAATCCTAATTTGGACTACACATACCTGTACCCCTCCACATCTCCATTACATAAGAGGTAAGTGTTCAGTAATTGCATGCTTTTTCTGGGTTAGTAACGAAAAGTATTGAAGCCAGAGACTGCCAGGTAACTAGCACGTTTCGCATGGGGATCAGCAATGGAGGCCTATATAAACTTGAAACATATTTTTACAGAGAGAATTTGTTACAAATATACACAGTAGGGGGAATTTATCACAACTGGAGCAGACAGAATCTGGAGAAGTTGCCCATGGCAATCAATCATATTCTATCTTAAATTTTGAAAGCTTAACAGAACAAACTGAAGAGAGAAGCAGATTGCTTACTATGGACAACTGCTCCAGTTTTGATACATTCCACCCAATACATTGTAAAATAATTGGCCTTTAGACAAAAACACATATAAACCGATATATAGGTTTAAAGTTTAGACTGTAGTAAAAAAAATGCATAAATAGTGATTGTGTCCCTTGCTTTTTTTTAATTAACAATTATTAAAAATAAGAAAAAATATATTATATAAATATATTTAAAGCAAAGAATAGTCATTACTAGGGATGCATCGATACCAAGTACTGTACTTGGTACAAGGACATGTACAGATACTTTCGAGCTCCAAGACTAGACTAGAGAAAAATTCAAAAGTTAGGAGTCAGCGGTCATTGGTAAGGAGCACGCAGAGCTCCTGGGATTTGTACATTTCTGTTTTATTGTATGATTTTGTTTTTATAAATATAAATAAGTGATACACCGATACCATTTTTCAAGTACAAGTACTGATACTTGCCCAAGTACTTACAGACACAAGTACTGATACATTTTTGATTATTGTCATGTGACAGTTTTCCGAAAACAATACAGACTAATGATTTCAGGACAGTGGTGGAGCGCCAGGGCCAGGTCCCAGCTGCAAACTCCGCAACCCTGGTAGTTCTCATGAAAATGCCAAGTATCGGCACTGGTACTTGAAAAGTATCGGTGCATCCCTAGTCATTACTGTTCAACATTTTGCAGATTTCTGTAAATTAGCAAATTTGTTATTATCAATGTTTGCCCTCATCTGAAAACACAGTGCTATGCATGATACAGGTATACAATTTAGGAACATTAGGATTAAATTGTGTAAACCACCTTCAACATGAAGTGTCAAAAGGTATTAGAACATAAGCAGTGTCCATGCGGCATAATGTTCCACCTGTCTAGGTAGTTTAACAAGTAATAGTCTATATTAAGAACTGAGTCTGATATATCCATCTTGTAGCCTGTGCTCTGTGCACGGTAAGAGTACGATGGAAAAGTTTTCTTACCTGCAAGTAAGTTGTGGAAATTGCCTGCGATGTAGTGAATTCCTTTCCCAGCTGTTAGTGGAGATTCTCTGCTGCAAGTGACATGAGCTATTTTACACTTGCTAGTACCATTCGCTTTCAGGAAATGATCCTGTATATCCTGAAGCTGCAATCATTGCTGTGGCTCTTGCTACCCAGGACATCCTCTTATGCAAACTCAAACACCTTCTAAGATTCTCGAGCCCCTAAGTGGATCGGTCCCTTTGTCCTGAAAGGCATGAATGCAGCAAAAAGGAATCTCTAAATAAATAAGTCTTTCCTTTCTCCCATGGCGCACATAAAAATACAGGGGTTATTTATTTTCATTCTTGCTATAGCTTACTCGTGTGATTAACACATTGGCTTGAGTTTTCAAGCTGTGAGAATTACTGTACGGCGCAGTGCAAATATTTTACTAGATATTTCAAAGCACATTTGAATTGCTCCATAAGACAGGGGTTAAGCAGAGTTTGCAGATCGTAAATATGTATATATTTTTTTTCGTTTTGGAGAGAGGTCATGTTCAAATTCTGAACCTTCCCGATATAATAGATTTAAACATAATGGCTTGCTTATATAACTATAATAATTAAAACCGACATTATGACACAAGGATGCAATCAGTACTTCTTTAATGGGAATTATGTGCATCCTCTGTGGCAAATGTTAGATAGAATACCTTTAGAATACATATATAATGCAGGAAAGAGAATTATATTCATGGTAAGGTCTTGGTAAGCAAGAATACTAGGAGTAGTAAACCTAAACGCAGAGATAAGGTAACAATGCTATTGAGACCACAATGACTAAAAGGAATATGCATAATTTAGCATTTATTTAACCAGTTGGCATTCGCGGTGTTAAACCCCCTTCCCATCCAGGCCATTTTTCAGTATTCAGCGCTGCGGTACTTTGACTGACATTTATTCCGTCATGCAGCGCTGTACTGAAATGAATTTTATACCCTTTTTTGGGGACAGATAGAGCTTTCTTTTGGTGGTATTTATTCACCACTGGGGGTTTTATTTTTTTACTATATTAAGGAAAAATTACCGAAATTTAAAAAAAAAAACAGTTTCCCCTATATTAAATGATAAAACATTTATTATTACCCAATTTTTTGGTAAAATATAAAAGATGGGGTCACGTCGGGTAAAAAGACACTAAACATGTCAAGCCTTAAAATTGCGTGCGCGCGCGAAACCTCAAAAAACGATAATACCCAAAATTGGCCATAGGCGACGCTTTAAAAGCTGTTACCGCTCATCAGTTTAGTGTTATCAGTGATTGATGGCCCTAAAATGATTGCTCTCCCTGCGACGTTCGCGGCGATATGTAACATGTGTAGCGCATGTGTGGGCGAAAAAACAAGCACATATAGACGATCGGCGGGCTATGGAGCCACCGATCGTCTATATGTGAAACACCCGGTAACGGGTGTTTGCATTGGTCGGGTCTTTTCTGCCCGTGCGTGCCCGCTAGGGGGTGCGCGTGAGCAGAAAAAAAATGCCGTCTGGCGACGGCAACCCGCCAATGCAGCAGTGCCATCCGTCCGTTTTTTTTACAACGGGCGGACGGCAAGTGGTTAATAATGATTGGCTAATCAATTGGAAGTGCTCTGAAATAAAGCATCACCCACAGGATCGTCCCCCCTATATTCAATTTATATAATTTCAGCTATATTATATCTATCCATCATAATCCTGGAGGTTGTAAAATGTTGTTCAGCTTCCTGTTGATCTTCAGATACAAGTATGGAACTTGACATTGGTCCTGAACCTCGATATTATCAGGATAGTCAGATGATCATCTTTTAGCATACAGTAGATGGGACAAGTCTTTATTTCAAGGCCTTTATTTAAAACTGTGACATGCACTGCCTGGCCAAAAAAGTCACCACCTGGATTTAGCTACGAAAATAGATAAGAGACTTCCACTGGATAATTAGTATAGGTGCAGCAACATTATGTCCCCAAAAATTAGGTCAACTGTCTTCCTAGATATACTAAATGATTGGGTTTTTCCATCAATTAATTTTTTTCTTCCCTGATGGCACCGACATATTCCAAAATTCCAGGATTCATGGGGCTCAAATTTTGAAAGAGTGGTTCAGGAAGCATGAGACATCATGTTCACACATGGATTAGCCACCACCTTAACCCCATTGAGAATCTTTGAGATGTACTGGAAATGACTTTACACAGTGGTCCAACTCTCCCATCATCACTACAAGATCTTGTGTGCTGGAGACGGCTTTATGCAGTGGTCTGACTCTCCCATCATCACAACAAGATCTTGTGTGCTGGAGACGGCTTTAAGCAGTGGTCTGACTCTCTCATCATCACTAAAAGATCTTGGTGAAAAATGTTGTGAAATTGCAAAAGCTTTTCAAAGTGATGCCACGGCAAATGCGTGTCGTAGTCAAAGCTAAAGGCAGTCCAATGAAATATTAGAGTGTGACTTTTTGGTCAGGCGGTGTATATATTCTATAATATTGAATTTGATTATACCAGTGTTTCTTAATGAAAGATTAGTATACCCAGGGGTTCTTCTGCCAAGTTCAGGGAGCACATCTGAATGAATTCAGATTAGGAGTTAAATTTCTGAAAACTGCAAATAACTCTTCATGTGGGTAAGAGTAAAAATATTTTAGCTGTTCGAAATATAACCAATCAGGAAGAAGACACATGCACTATTAGGAGCATATCCATATGCAAAAGTGTGATAACAGATTTACACTTGGAGGTAGTGAGCAATTGAAGAATATTAAGAAACACCGGGTGACACAGTTGCAGTCATTTTTGACCCCTTAAAGTAACTCGCC